AAGTCACAGAGACGGCAGCGGAGGTCCCTCAGTTGGCCTCCTGTGGTTCCCCAACCCCTGTCCTGCCCACATCCAGCAGGAGCCGGGCCAGTTGTCCCTTCCATGGACTGGATTGGTGAGGCAAATCCTTCCCTCCAGGCTCCTGTCTTGCTCTCCCAGGACAGCCTCACAAACTCGGAGGGACGGGACCCTCTGAAAACCTGCGCCCCCAACTTTCCAGGTTGATAGAGGGTGGCTGGTCCGGATGGGGAAGGCCTTTCCGAGGCCTTTCAAGTCCTGACCAGTGTGCTGATGCTCTGGGCCTCCGTCTCCTCCTCTGTTCATGTGTGCGATGGCACAGTGGATGGCTCTTGGGGCCCTACCCAGTTAACACTTGGGTCTATGCTTTTTTCACCTCCATCCTCCCCCACTGCTCCATAGCATTAGGAAAACCTCTCCCTCCAATCACAGACAGGAAACCTGAGCTGGGGGAGGGACTCACACACTCAAGTCTCTCCCCACCCCCAGTATGTTCATGGTTGCCATAGCAACTGGCCCCCAAAGACTCTTCTTGGCATTCACCTCCCCTTTCTGCACCACTGGAATGCTGGCTTCGTACCCAGAGTCTGAGAACTTAGAGCTCAATCCCTCATTTTAAAGAAGAAGACGGTGAAGCCCAGAAAGGGAAAGTTACTTGCCCAAGGGCACACAGCAAGTTGGTGGCAGAACCTTACCTAGAATCCAGGTCTCTGCTTCCTCTGGCCTGTCACCCTGGTAGGAGGGAGTTGGGGTCAGTTCTTACCTGATGACCAGCATGCTACACCCAGGCCTCTGGGGAAGATCTTGGGAAGACATAGCCCACTGGACTTTGGACAGATTCACAGATAGAGCTGAGTGTGAGGGGGTGGCGATTGCAGCTAAATAGGCCCTCTAAGCCCAGCCCATTCCTCAATTCATTCATTCAATAAATGTTGTGTGCCTGGTACTGACCCAGGCCCTGAGATTCAGCTGTGATCGAAGAGGAAGAGGTTCCTGCCCTGATGGGGTGACATCCAGGTGGGGGTCAAGACAATGAGCAGACCCACGGGATGGAATGTCACCTCTGGGACTGAGGTGCTATCAGAGCAGAGGAGAGCCTGCCCCTTGAGTTAGGGACATCTGGGAAGCCCTTTCTAAACTTACCTGTCCCCTGCCCTACACCTTTGGGGGATGTTGGACTCTAACATGGTTGCCAGTCAGTCGATGTGTTTTGGGAGAACATGCCTTAGTTCAGAAGCCAGAGGCTCAAAATGCTGAATTTTAGGCACCAAAGCTGGAGTTGGGAAGACGTTTGAAGCAGTGGACTCCCTCAAACCATGTACCCAGCTGGCCTGCAAATGGAGGAGTCTGATTTCAGATGCCCCAGGGAGGCTCCCCAAAATAATAACAGATGTATTTCCTGGTGCAAAAAGACAGCCCTTCACCTCATAGTTAGAAAGAATACCAGTTGCCCACAGGCAGCAACCCCTTTCCTGGGAGTGGACTTTTATTTAACTTTTTATGACGGAAATTGTCTAACAGACACAGAAAGTGCCTGGGATAAGGAATTCCCATGTACCCGGCTCGGAAACATCAACTTCTAGTCCCTCTGATTCCAGCTCGACCCCTCCCTGCCCACTGGATTACTCCAAAGCAAACTGGGGCTGGTCTTGTAAGGACAGGAGGAAGAGGTGCCCCAAAAGTTAAGTAGGGCCTCTGGGTAGCTGCCCCAGAATGACAGCGGGGGTCCTAGTTCTGCTGATGGAGAAAGAGGGGTTTGGCTGAGGGAGCCAAGCCCCATTTCCTGCCCCAACCCACCTCTCTTGGTTTTCTCCCCCCCCTTCCCCCTCACTCACAATAAAAACATAATTACAGGGCTTTATAGGGGAAAAAAAGGCAAATTATGGTGACATGCTTTAATTATCTGCCGAGCAATGGCGGGCTGAATTACACAGGCAGGGCCTTGGAGGTTACCTAAAAATAAAGCAAGAAGCCTCATTAGATGCTAATTGCTGCTTTTGCCAACTGAAGTGAGATTCTGGTGCCGGGTGCCATTCAGTGCTGGGCTGTGGGGAGGGGGGACCCTTGAGGCTCAGAGTGCCAGGGCTAAGCCCTGCGGGTAGGCAGGGGGTCAGGGAGGAGCCCTCAGTGCCAGGGAGAGCACTTTGATGTTCAGTGGGCAGAGGGAAACCTGGTGCTAGGAGGAGGGAACCCCAGTCCCAGTGGCAACGACTGAATGAGGGTCCATGGTCCGGCCTTTGCAGGGAGAGGGCCACACAGTCTTCTGCAGTCTCAGCCTCTTCTGGGGGGAGGGTTCTCTAGGATCCCTTGCTGGGCCTGGAGGCTGAAGCTATGCCAGGAACATCCTGGCAGGGTGCCGACAGGGTCCTCCCTTCCGCTTGGCTCTATCTCTCTGTCCCGCCTTGCCTCTGCCTCCAGGACTCAAGAATAGGAGGGACAGACCCAAGGACATTAGAGTTCAGAACCAGCCCTCTGAGCAGGCAGGGACCTGAGACTCCACTCATCCTCTGCTTCTGAAGCTGGCCTTCCCAGGATCCTAGGAGTTCCATGGGGTGTCCTGGGTGCGCAGCTGGCCTGGAGCTGGTGGGCTCCCACTCAGGCTGGCGCAACCCAGTCTTGGGTTGGAGCCCAGACAAGCACTCAAGCAGGCACTGCGGGTCCCTCCCGTTTTATAAATCCCAGGGTCTGGTGCCATACCTGGCCCCCTGGGCTGCATGGCCCATTCTCTGGGGAGCTCTGAAAACACCCCCAGCCCCACCCACAGAGGCTCAGATCTAGGGCTCTGGAGCCGGGCCCAGCATCCACGCTGTCTAAAAGTTCCCCTGTGGTTAGTTAGAAAGTGCACTGAGGGGTAGAATGTCTACTAGCCTAATCCTTCCATTTCCACCTTGAGGAGGCTGAGGCCACAGGAGAGGAGTAGTCACAGAGCCTACGGGGACCCCATAGCCCCCCGTATGGGACAACTTTCTTGGACCTGCTGGCTTCCTGTCCAGGGTGCCAGTGTCCCTTCTTGCTGAAATACAATATTCTGAAGAGCCTGAGCAAGAGTTCACCTTCCTCAGGGTCTCACAGGAGCCTGGTCATTCATAACTGGGGGTGAGGGGACAAAGGTTGAGTGGCCAGCTGACCCAGGAAGGGCCACATGTCCTTCCCACCAGGTCCTATCTGTGGGAACTGGCAAACTCTTGCTGGGTCCTGGACCCTCCTGTCCACTCAGGCCCATGAGCCCACAAACCTCTTTGCATTCCAGGCTCAGCTGCCCAAGAGTCACACACCACCCAAGCCTTCCCTACTCAATCCACCTCGTCCCCACAATTACTTTACTTTGGGACAGTCTGTTTTGTCTCCCTGTTAGACTGGTAGTCCCCTGAGGGCAGGGCCTAGATGCCCCAGGAAGGCTGGACTAGGCCAAGGCTCAGGGAAGTCAGAAGGCCTAAGCCCCACCCAGCCTGCCCTGCCTCTGGCAGGCTCTGTCAGCCTCCTCACAACCACAGGAGGCCTTGGAGGCTGAACTTGGTCCCCTTCTCCACCTCCCATTGTCCTCTCCTGAAAGCTGAGGGGAGCAGAGGGGCAGCACCCACTTTGGAGAGAAGGTGATTCTCCCCTTGGAACCCAGATGGGGTCCCACAGATGTGGGGGACACCTAGGCAAGTCCTGAGCTCAGCACAAACCCCTGGGCTCTGGGCCAGGCCCTCCACCTGTCCTTGGACCTCAGAGTGTCAATCACCTCGAGGCAAGGTGCCCAGGCTGGGGATTCTTGGACAACCACCCAAGGGGAAAGCTGACTCCACCCCCTTCCCCCTCCTCTCCACACACAAACACTTCCCTGGAAGCTTCTGGAAAAGACACTTGGTCTGGCAACCAAGTTTTGCCTGCTTGGGCTGGAGCACTGGGTGGCATCAATTTTGAGTCGGGGGCTTTAGGACCATCCTGCACAAGCAAAATGATCGGCAAGAGACACCCACTTTCTTCTCTCCTTTCCTTGCACAGATGTTTATGGAACATATACTAGATGCTGTGCACATGTATACACTGAGACCACCTGCCTCCAGGAGTAAGGGTGGCGGATTGAGGGGGCACTAACACCTGGCATGCCCAGCCTCGCCTCTGCACACACCCTCACACCCACTCTCAGCCTGGCTCCCTGCACTAGTCCCTCGGCCACCGTACCCCACCGCCCCGTCAGCTAGCCTGGAGGTGGGGGGAGGGTGGCAGGAACTGGGGGGCAGGGCAGGGGTGATGGCACAGGCAGCATGGGCTCCAGCTGCTGCCTCTGGCCCCAGTGCATCACTGGCTTTATAATCTACCCCTGGCAGAGCCTAGTCCCCAAACTGCTCGCGCTCCTGCCCGCCTGTCTTGTCTAGAAAGCTAGCTGCATGGACACTCGAAGCCGGCCTGGATGGGTGTTCTCACGACATGGGTGTGACATGGACTCAGCCACTCAGGTCTGAGACAGATGGGCACTCATACAAGGCAGACAAGCATGCATGTGGAGATCCAGACGTACACACAGATCTCTGGGACAGACACATCCTAGCACCTGGGTCTAGACATAAGAGAAGAGGGCTGTGGGCCCCAGCAGGCCCAGAAGCCCATGTCTCAAGAGGAGGATTCCTGGCTAGAAGAGGACAGGAGAGGTTTATGGGGTGAGGGGACCCATGTGTGAGGGATGAGATAGAGGAGAGGCAGGGCAGACAAAGCACCCTCCTTCGAGGTGGCAGGGAAAGGGACAGAGCACCCCCTTAATTAGGAGACCACCAGGTGCTGATTTCTGGAATTTTCCACACCGTCCATGTCCCCTACCTGGAAACCCAGCCCCTCCCTCCCAAGGCCTCTCCACACCACACTAATCCCAGCCCAGGGAGCAGTCTCCATCCGAACCAGGTCCCATCTCCGCCACCCAGTCCCCGCTTCCCTCCAAGCCCCAGCCTCCCTCCGGCTGCGGGTTGAGCCCGTGGTCCCCGGCAGATGTGAAGCCTGGGTGCAAAACCATGTGTTTATTTTTATTAGAAATGTTCTTGGTATAAAAACAATCATGCTACACATTGTCATCAATAACCATCACCAAACACCCAGGCACTGAACTCCGTGTGGTCGGCAGGAGGGGCAGGCGGGGAGGCGGACAGGACACACGGCAGATGGGCGGGGCCGGCGGGCAAGCTGCGGGCCACAGGGACACACACAGAGGCCACCAGGAGGACGCAGCACTTGGCAACACACTCGAGATTGGTTTTTGTTTTGGCTTTTTTGTGTTTTGACTTTTTTTCCGTTTTTCTCTTTTGCGACACGTAAGATCTGATGGATTGGGAGTGGGTGGAACAGAGACGGGTCCATAAACGGGATGGAAGTGAAGTCAAGGACAGGAAAGCAAAAGGCATGAGAGGAGTGACACAGGCAGAACCCAGGAGGAGGCAGAGAAGCTAAGACAGAGAGGATGATGGGAGGAGGCAGAGCCAGAGGGAAAGAAGACACAGGAAAGCCGAGGACACAAAGAGCGGTGACAACAAGAAAGAAAAGGCGACATACAGAGTCAGAGAGCGCAGAGACGAGCTGGAGACAGACGTGGAACAGGCAGAGACGGAAGGAAGGAGAGACCCAGCCCTGGGGCCCACACCGCCTGAGCCCCTGTGGTTTGTGGCCAGGAGGGGCAATTGGCCCAAGACGAAGGCTCTTGCAGGGGCCTGGAGTGTCCTCCTCCTGCCGCCCACCTGGCTTGCCCAGGCTGTTCAGCAGTGACGGCCGGAGGCACTGCTGTCCTCAGCACCAAGCCATGTCCGTGGGCACCCACGGGCAGGCAGGACATCAGCTGGGCCCCTGGGCATGGCCCTGGCCTGACGCACCATCCACAAGGGTCACGGTTCCTCCTCTTCCTGCTGGGCTCGTGGCCTAGCTAGATGGCATGGTTGGTGTAGGTGACATAAGTCTGTTTGGTGGCCAGCGCTGGAAGGAGAGAGACCAGGGTAATTGGAATTCAGGGACTGCCTTTCTTAAGTCCTGCTTCCACATGGCACTGCCCTGCACAAGAACCCACCATAGCTCCCTAGCTCCCGTGGCATCCAGTTCTGAACTGAGCAGCCAGCATCTCCCAAACCATGCGCCAGTCCCACCCCACCCCTGCAGTGGCCTCTCCTGCGGTTCCCTGCTCCGCACTCCCGGGATTCGCACGTCCGGCGGCTGCTTGCCTGGAGTGCCTTTCCTCTCCCTTGGTCACTCCAGAGGTGGCCCCTCCTTTGAGCCCTCCCACTAAGCACCACTCCTTAGTGGGGGCCTCCCCATCACAGAGCCCCTGCCCCTCCCAATCCCACCAGAAGGATTATAGAATCCTTTCTATGTGTGATATCATATAATCTTAAAATGTCGCCAAAGGTTAGTCTTTCAGTTCAGCCACATACATTGTGGATGAGCAGATGGGAAGAAGATGCATGAAGCGAACTAGAATGGCGGCCTGGGAGAAGGGAGTGGAAACGGGACAGAGGAAACAGATCCTGAGAACCAGAGAGGGCCGATCCTGCTGGAGACTGAGGCACACGCTGGATCCCACCCTCTGCCCCAGGCCCAAAGAAAACACAAGCCCCCAGAGCCCCACGGCCCTGAGCACCCATCCCTTCTACTCCTCGGTGCCCTTGCCTCCACTCAGTCCTGGGCCCTTGGCAATTACTTCATGGCCTATCTGGGCTTCTCCCAGTTCCTGTCCACTGCCGGAGGATGACAGCAGCTCTTGAGGGCAGTGTGTCCCCTGCCTTGTTAGGGTACAGACCTCATAGCAGCTGAGTGAGGAGGCCAAAAAAGTGTTTCCCCATTTGACAGATGAGGAACTGGGACCAGAGGGAGGGGCAGGGAATCTGGCTGGGCCCTTGGTTTTGTCCTGACCTGCTAAGGTTGAGGGTTTCCCTCAGTGGCCTGGGGGCCAACTTAGTGGGAGTAATCAGGGCCATACTGCTGCCTGGGGTGGGAGCTGGTCTGCTGGTGCGGAGAGGGGAAGCAGGTGGGGGACATTCATGCTGCCCTTTGTCTTTTTTTTTTTTTGAGTTGGAGTCTCACTCCGTTGCCCAGACTGGAGTGCAGTGGCACACTCCCGGCCACCGCAGCCTCGACCTGCTGGGCTCCGGCGATCCTTCCGCCTCAGTCTTCCGAGTAGCCAGAACTATAGGCACACGCTACCATGCCCAGCTAATTTTTTATTTATTGTAGAGATGAGGTGTTGCCAAGTTGCCCAGGCGGATCTTGAACCCACGGGCTCAGGCAATTCACTCACCTCGGCCTCCCAAAGCATTGGGATTACAGGCTGAGCCACCAAGCCCGGCTGCCCTTTGTCTTAAAGCTGCCCTGACCCTACAATAGACCCTGGCAGCTCAAAAAGGAGGCGCATCTGCTGGGCTCAGCCAGGGCCATCTGGCCTGGAGAAGAGAAAATTGGGCGAGCAGCGTGGTGCTCTGCAAATCGACCCCCCACCCCTCTCCCCAAGTTGAGGAGTACATTTCCCAGCCTCCCTTGCAGCTAAGTGGGGCCTTGTGTGACTACACACTTGCTAACAAAACCTCTGTGGGAGGACTGAGGCCAACACCTGTGTCATTCGATTAAAATACAATAGTGCTTCCTTCTACTTCCTCTCCTCCCCTTCTGTGAGCAAAACAGCCTCAGGGTCAACCAGCCTCAACCCTCTGGGAGTCGGTGGAGCAACAAAATGGAAGGAGCCCAGGTCTCCGCTCTGGCCCACCCACTACTAGGGCAGAGAGAAACAAATGTCTGTCAGATCTGAACTGCTTTGTTCTGGGCCCTCTCTGTCACAGCAGCATCACCAGAAGCCCAGGCAGGACTGCGGTGTCCAACCACCAGAGAAAACCACCACATGTGGAAGAAGCCAGCTTGCTGGGGATGGGGTGAGCAAAAGGACTCACTACGGGACCAGTGGAGAGGCACAAGGTTCAGAGTTCAGTTCAGCTACAGGAAGAACTTTCTCCTGGCCTGAGCTGAGTGGAGTCCATGGACTTATGTGGTAGTGAGCTCCCTGTCAACAGAAATATTCAAGCAGAGGATGAATAATCATTTGACTGGGCAATGGCAGGGAGGTTTCAAGGTTTCGTCACCACCTGGATGGGTGTTAATGGGAGAAAATGGCACTCACTGCAACATCCAGAAAAAGAGTGAGGACCCAGCAGGGCATCTTATGGTTACAAAGAATCCTCACCTTCCTTTCTTTTGGGGGGGAGAGCGGGGGATAATCCTTTTTCTTTTTTAAAGATGTAAGGTACAATTCAGGATTGGGTATACAAGTGGTCATCATACAGGTAAAGTTTGGGCCTCCCTCTGGTCCCCACTTTGCCTGGTTTGAGATCAGGTACCCTTACTGATATTGTGTCCCCTACCTTCATTTCTAAAATGGCTCTGTCCCAGGTTATTAGGTGACTGAAAGGGCAGAAGGACCAAGGGACAGGTCTGTTGTTTTTGTTTGTTTGTTTTTGAGTGAGAGTCTTACTCCGTTGCCCAGGCTAGAGTACAAGGCATGCTCACGGCCACCCCAGTGTCAGCTTGCTGGGCTCATGCGAACCTTCCGCCTCAGCATCCCAAGTAGTCAGAACTACAGGTGTGCACTACCACAACCAGCTAATTTTTTGATTTATTGTAGAGATGAGGTCTCGCCAATTTGCCCAGGCGGGTCTCGAACCCGTGGGCTCAGGCAATCCCCGCACCTCAGCCTCCCAAAGTGCTGGGATTACAGGCTTGAGTCACTGCACCCGACCTGGACAGGTCCATTTTGATGGGGCATATCTAGGTGGTGACCTGGCTTGGGCTGGGAGTACATGCAGAGCCTGGACGCCAGCTACAGGGAGGCCTCACATTTGCTCTGTGATCTCAGGCAGGTCTTCAGTTTGTTTGTCACACGAGCAGGGTGGCCCTTTTTGCCTAGGCAGACCACATCTTTTCCTGAGGGGCTCCCGATGGCCCCCAACATCCCTACCTCTTCTCTCTCCCCTGGTTAGACAAAGAGCTGCAGTGGCTGTTCCGGGAATCTCTGGCCCTCAGGCCAAGCGGGTGAGACTCAGTTCCCCAGGGTCCCATCACCCCCAGGTGAACTGATCAAAATGAGTTTCCAAACCTGTAAAGCCCGTCAGCTGCTCCTGGCTCAGAGGTGGAAGAAAACCCGGGCAACACAGCAAAATCTGGAGGAGTGCACGCCTAAGGGTGGCTGGGGAGCACAGGGGGAGGTGGAGGGACGAGGGAGTGCAGAGAGGAGGGACAGCTGGCCCCCTGCTCTCCTCTAAGACCAGAGCTGGCTCCCCTAGAAAACCCAGTTCACAGGTTCCAGAAGATGGGGAGGCATTCAGCCCTCAGCTATAAGCCAGAGGCCCCGGCGCCCTTCAGCCTCAGTCTCACCATCTAGAAAATGGAAGCAGTAAGTCAGTTCCACGAGCTAAAAGTGAGGCTCCAAGGGAAGAGTTCTGGCTGGAAGTCAGGAGCCCTGAGGTCCAGGCCTGCCTGCTCTGCCAGAGGGAATCTCAGCACCTGCCAGGTGGCCCTTCCAGCAAACTAACATTCTCAGAGCTGAAATTCCCTCATCTGTAAGATGGGGTAACAACCCCATGTGGAGTCTGCCAAAGGGTGGATGGAAACATGCTTAAATCCACAAAATGCTGGGCAAGGCTGGGTGCAGTGGCTCACACCTGTAATCCCAGCACTCTGGGAGGCCCAGGAGGGAGGATTGCTTGAGCCCAGGAGTTCAAGACCAGCCTGGGCAACAATGAGAGATCTTGTCTCTACAAAAAATAAAAATTAGCCAGGTGTGGTAGTGTATGTCTGCAGTTCCAGCTACTCAGGAGGTTGAGGCAGAAGGATCACCTGAGCCCAGGAGGTCAAGGCTGTGGTGAACTGTGATTGTGTCACTGCACTCCAGCCTTGGCAGAGTGAGATCCTGAAGCAAAAAAAAAAAAAACTGGACGAAAGGGCAGAGCTGAGGACAGGGAAGGAACAATGACACTCCAGAATGGGGACAGCACCCTTGGCATGAGTAGAAGGGCGAGGGGTGTGTCGGCCGAGGCCCCAAGCCCAGCCCCAGCTGGTGACAGGCCCTCGCTGCTAGTTTCCGTCGCCAGCGGCTCCAACAACGAGCCGGGCAGCGCCAGGCACAAGCTGACAGCCCCCATTTGTCCCCTTGTCTCTGTGCCCAATCTGCCTACAATCGGGCCCCTGAATTATTTATTCTGTTGTTTGCTTAAAGATACGTGGCCTGCTAGTGACAGCGTGAAAAATGTCCCTGCTTCACAGGAGTGACACCTCCACACTCCTCCTGCTCACACCCCCTCAGTCCGGCTGTCCCCAGAATTAATCACCTGGCTCCCACCTGGTGCCTCCATGGCCCCTGTTGTCAGAGCTGATAGACAGCGGAGGGCATGGGGTGCTGGTGGCTGGCCTTCACTGCAGGAGGTGGGGGGGGGACAGGGGGCCTTTCATTCTTCTTACAGGAAGCAGGAGGCTGGGGATATTGGGTCTCCCCTCACCGTGCCTTTGCACCCCTCCTTGTCTGGCAGGAGCGGGTAACTGTCCCCTGTCCCTGGGGAACCAGCTAGAGCAAGGCAAAAGGGCCATGCCAGTGTGGCACTGTCAGAGCCCTCGGTGCAGGCCCCTGCTCTCTGCAGGGCCCCCTGGCCTGTCACAGCACCATCAGTGTCCCCCTTTGGGGTCAGGTGTCATCTCCAGGAGGAGCTGATACCCACTAGCTCTCGGGAGCACTGAGGCACACCCATTGGATGGACCCCCTCCTGCACCCAGCAGAGAGGAGGCCTAGAAGGAACAGGACCTGGAAAGCCAGTCTCCACAGGGAAGAGGAAAACTGGGCCAGGGCCAGGGAGGGCGCCCCTGCTGAGGACAGAAGGGCTCTTCACTGGGGTCTCTGTCTCCAGACATCAGGTAACATAAAAGGCCAAAGGTGGAAGTTCTGGAGGCCCCTCTGCCCCTTCCATCTCAGTATGGGCAGCAGGCATGGCTCCCAAGGGACACCCAGGCTGCCCTTTCCCCAGGCTGGGGTGGGAAAGCCAGTGTCCCAGGAGAGGAGGACTAAGAGAGGTAAAGGTTTCTCGGAGAGGGACACAGCCATTGGGGGTGTCAGTAAAAGGGGGAAGGGCACCAGAAGTCAAGTGCACCGCTCAGCACAGAGGACAAGAACCTCAGAGAAAGAAAGGCCACATGAGGTCAGAACCCAGGGAAAGGCACAGTGGTGGGTCACCCAGCCACCCCTTGCTGTGTGACGCCAGAAGAAGTGTTCACCCTCTCGGCTTCAGCTGGGGATCAAACACCAGCCCCACTCGCCCTCACAGGATTGCCCTGACAATCACTCAACAGGGGAGAGGACACTGCGGAGGGAAGGCCCATGTGGAGGTGGGAGGGATCGTCTCCTTGCAGTGGCCATTCTCTCAACACAAGAGACAGGTGTTGAGAACAGAAGGGCAGATGCTTGGCCCAGAGCCCCAAGGTGGGACCCTGTGCCAGGTGCTGCCCCTGCCCAAACACCGAAGTCCAGACTCCCGTCCCCAGGGCACTGTGTGTCCTCCCAGCCCAGGTCAGGTCACCTCCTAGATGTGCCCTATCAAAATGGACCTGTCCCCTGGTCCTGGGGAGGGAAGGCTCCATTTTTCCTGATCTCCAGGTGGATGACAAAGGCCCTCCTCTCTGGAGCCATGCCCTGGACCTCCTTGTAGTCTAGCTTGCCTTCTTCCTGCTGCCACTGAAAATGTCCACTTCTGACCTTTCCCCAGGACTCAAGGGAGGAAGCAGAGTGCAACTTCCCAGGTCCCTCCAGGTCCCTAAAGCGCACCTGTGGAGAGGGGCTCTCCTCCACCCTCCCCCACCATGGAAGCCCCAAGATGTTCAAGAGGGGAGATGCAGGAGAAGCTGCCTTTTAAACCATCTGGGCCACTCCAGGCTGTCCAGGGAGGATGCCAAGGGCTGTGGGGGCTCTGGGTGACCTCAGTGATGTCTCAGTCCCTCCCCACCCAGTAGCAGTTGGAAGCAAGGCCCCTCCTGGGGCACAGGCCTCCATCTGTCTGAGAAGTGGAAGCAGCTGGTAGCAGGCCCTGCCACCTACTGGCTCTGTGACCTGGCTGAGTCCCTTGCCTCTGAGCCTGTTTCCTCATCTATATCACAAAAAGACCTGCCTTCCAAGGCTGCTGTGAGGATAAAAACTGGCACAGAGTAGGTCTGGCACACAGGAAAGATTCAAGAACTGGTCACCACTATCCCCAGCGCGCGCGCACGCGCACACACACACCACACGCACACGCACACACACATGCACACGCACACACACACACACCCGCTTCTGCTCCTCATGCGTTGCAGCTCAACTAGTCCCCCAGCCTCCCTAAGGATCTTGGGCCTCCTTCCCTCCCCTTCCCTCTCCCCAAAGCACTACCCTCTACTGCTGAGTCTCCAACCACAACCCTGCTACCTGGAAACTGTGGCAGGCAGTTCCATAGGTCCCTCCACCCCACCCTCTCACCTGCCCGACTGGCCCATGTCCTCGGTCCCCATCTCTCAGGGTCCTCCAGGAATGTTGTTAGAACTAAGTGGCTTAACGAATGTCCCAAAGCCTCTGGCGGCGGGGCCACCCCTTCCAAAGGGCCAGTGAGCAACTGAGACAACCCCGTCTCCCAATGTGACTGAAAAAACACAAGTGAGATGTGGGCCCCAGGACAGGGAAATTCCAGGGTCTCATGTCACTCTGCCTGAACCAGGCACCCCACGGCCTCACTTCAGGTGGGGCAGAGATCCCTGGCAGGGTGTGGCTAGAGCAGGGGCTGGGGACACCTGGCGCCTGAAGGTTCTCCTTGAGGTTCCTTTGGGCACTTATCTGTAGCTTCGGGGTTCTCCCCATGCCCCCCTAAAAGAATGGGGCTAGGGAGTGGGGCGTGGCCAGGGAGGGGGCGC